AATTTATTTCAAGGTAAGATCTTACCCTTTTGTAGGTTAATTTTTGTTCAAACTAATAGGGCTATAATCACAATTGTTAAGAAGTGTATGTATGATAGCATTATCTGATAGAATATATGCCTTCACTTAATAAAGTAATGGACCAGGTCCCTTACTACACTAATGAATAAAACTAGAAAGTTAAATGCAGTAAAATCAACACAATGATTTTACGTGGCAACCTCCTTGCTTAAGGGAGTAAAACCACGACCTGTCTCACAGGATTTTCAATCGTTTTCACTAATCTTCAAAAGCAAAAGTAAAAAACGATTACAACGAATGTGAGAAGAAGTTTTTCATCTCACGTTTAAGCAATAGTCTCTATTGCTTAACAAGCCTAAGTAGAAAACAATCTACCCACTAAGCTATCCCACTTGGACAACCTAGACTTTCAACACTACCCACTGATTCCTTTATAGTTTCAGGAATAGTTTACAATATAAGAACAAGAGAATATATTCCTAAACAGCTACACTAAAAGCTCCAGAGATTACTGCTGTTCTTGGAATAATTCTGTCTTTTGTTTACTAGCAGCCTTTGCAAATGTTCTTGAAGAGTTGTATCTCAAGTTGCAAAAACTACCCAAGATGTTTAGGAAAGTGCCTTTTATATGGACAAGTCACTTTCCTTAAAATCTTTGTCATTGGTTGGAGAAGTCTTACTTTCTGACGCCATCGGGAAGTGCGACCTACTTTCTGTACCGTCTCCAGTTAGAAGTCAACTGGCTCATCATAATGAGAGTCTGGTACCTCTATAAGGTCCCTGGGTTTGTTTCATCTTCAGCACTTAAGTAAGAAACCTGGTACCTTTACAAGGTCCGTAAGTTTGTCAAATCATCAAAATTAAAAATAACATTTTCCCCCTTTTTGATGATGACAAACACCGATCTATGATCTACTCCAACTTAGTTCCCCCTTGCTGTATTCCCCCTTACTCTATTCCCCCACATGTATATTCCCCCATATAAATAACCATTTAGCTACATACAGTTTTACTTCCCCCTTTTGGCATCATAAAAAAGATATAGAGTAAACCAATGATGTCAACTGAAATACTAAACAAGATCAAATCTCAAGAGCAATCAATCAGTAAGGAAAAAGAATTCACAAAAGAGAATAATCAGAACAGCAGAGGAATAAGTCAACCAGCATGTCATAATAACATTAATACATTAAAATCAAACTGAATATCCATCAACACAAAGATAAGACACACAAAAAAATGACACAGGGGAGGATTGTTTAACAGGCTAGGAAGAGAGGGGAGGATGAGATAGGGACAGAATGACGAGAGTTAGTCGTGCATTGGCAGCATCATTATCTTTGATAGCCTTTTCCTGCAAGGCAGTGATCTTTGCCTTCAACTCTGCATTCTCTCTCTCCAGAGCTTGTACCACTGAAGAACTAGGTCCCTCACTCTGTGCAGTAAGCAGTTCTACTTTGAGTATAGCAATCTTGGCCTCTTTACCACTCAAATGCACAGTGAGCTCCTCAACCTCGTGCTTAAGTTGATCTTGATCTTTGATAAGTTGAGTCATCTTTCTCTTTGGATAACCTCTCTCTTCAATGCAATCGCACTCAACCAAGGTACTCTAGGAGATAGTCTGTTTAACTGTCCCAACCTTTCCAACACTTAGAGGAATTTGAAAATGTTTGAATACTTCCGTGAGAAAGTATCCGTAGCCCATTCCATGAACACCTTTCCTCTCGATTACGGTTTTGTGGATATGATCAAGCATTAGACCTGGGAGATTCAGGTCTTCGAAGCTACACAGCATCTCCATCACAAACAAGTCAGCAGCAGTGGCTACTATCCTCTTTTTAGTGAGAGGAAGAAGAACTTTGTTGATGAACTCAAAGATCAACTGGTACTCGCTCTTCATGATTTTCTTATAAATCCCAGCAACCTTGGTTGTGGGTGTCTTAGAAATCACAGATGCAAACTCAGTAGAGAATGTCCTTCCCAGTACAGACCGGGTCCCCTCTCTAGGCACCCTGAGAATTTTGTTTCAAGACACCCTCATCTAGTTGTACAGCAATGTCATTGACCCGTGTGAGGATGCTCCCATTTTCCTTGAATTGAACATTATAGTAAAATTTGTGCATTTGTTCTTCATGGAGGATGGGGGATTTTCTGTTGAACAAGTGTATCCAAGATTGAATCTCTACCATATCGTGAAGAGAGTCCATGCGGAAGAGTTATGATTCCCATATCGAAAAATCTCCTTGCCAAGACGTCTTGGTTTCTCAGGCTGTCAACAACTTACTGCATGTTGACACTCTCATCTCTCCTGGCTTGGGAACCAGGTCCTTGTGACCTCTTCCTTTTTCCCTCAGAACTCTTCTTTTTCGACTTTGTGTTTTCAACCTTCTTTGTGACTTTTCCCTTTTTCTTCTCTGACCTCTTCTTCTTAGTTTTCTTTTCCACTTCCTCACCAGACAACTCAACAACATTAGTCTCAGGTATTTTAAAATTTGATACCTTGAAGGTTCTGGCACTTCTAACTGCAGCAGTAGAACGTGCACTGGCCTTCAAGGCATGGGCCATCAACTTTTGAGCAGCAGACCTAGTGGTAGGTCTTCTCCTAGGGGCCTCTTCTACAACCTTCTCCTTCCCTTTTCTAGATATCTCACCTCCTCTTCGCTCAACCTTCCATTTTAAAGTTTTCTCCTTACATTTAGAGTTAGAGGAGGAGGAAGAAGGGTACTTTCCTATTTTAGGCGTTTTATCAAAAATGGGTTGAGTGTTTCTTACCTCTTCCCTCTGCAAAACTTCAGTTTGCTCCGCCATTGCTTCTTCCCGCATCATAACCAAGCTCTCAATCACCAACTCTTCACTTGCTGCCAATATATTGGACTCAGATGCCTTATGCTTGGGTATATCTCCTTCAAAGAGATTGTCAGGAAACATATCTTGAAATGGACCAGGTCCGGTAGGCACGCAAGAACTATTTAGATCTATGGCATACAAAGGATTGTCGGGTGTGTCTTATTGAGAACTAGAAGGGGGATTGGGTCTGGCCTGTACAGTAGACGGAGAATAGAAAGCAAGTGGCTCTATTTCGCTAAGAGCATCTAGCATCTTTTTGGAGGAAGAGGAAGGAGAAGACATGTTTAACACACAAGAAAATAGTTTTTCGAACAGAGAGAAGAAGAAGAAGAAACAAAGTTTGCCTTTTTAACTTTTGCTTAAACCCTTCATGAAACAAGAAGAATGTTAAAGGCCAGATGTGGATTTCAAAAGAAGTAAATAGGGTTTTTAAAAGGCGTGAAAAGGTGCAAGGTCCGTGATTGGATGTGTCGTTTTAGAGAGAAACTATGGGACTAACGGTCAGAGTGACTGATGAGTGACACGTGGCATTACCAACGGTCATATTTTTCATTTTCAAATTAATGTATAAATGCTAACCTGGACAGGAAAAAGGTACCATAGCATAGTTTAAAACCTCATTCCTCAGTTGTTCTATTCACTTCCCTTGCTAAGCAAGTCCTTCCTGAAAGTATACCTACAAAGGATACAAAAAGGATCTTTGTTCAGATATTTAAATTTTCACACAAAGGATACCTACACTACAATTTTAGCCATCAAGGGAGTTCAACTGTTGGAATCTAAGAACATCACTTGGAGATCAACATGCCCAACATCAACCGATTTCTCTCAAATTGATCCTTGCTGAGAGCCTTGGTGAAGATATATGCAATTTGCTCCTCCGTTGGACAATATGTGAGCACAAATTTTCCTTCTCAACATTATCTCTCAAAAAGTGATGTCTAACATCAATATGCTTTGTTTTCTTATGATGGACTCGATTCTTTCCCATACTAACAGCACTAGTATTGTCACACATAAGAGGAATTGCTTTGATGTGAATCCCAAAATCTTCAAAGTGTTGCCTGATCCACAGCAACTGTGAACAGCAGGCTACAACAGCTACATACTCAGCTTCAGCAGTTGAAAGAGCCAAAGAGTACTGCTTCTTGGTTCTCAAAGAGATAAGTGATGATCCAAGAAAATGAGTCATTCCAGAGGTACTCTTCCTATCAACTTGATAACCAACAAAATCAACATCTGCAAAACCAACAAGATCAAAAGTGTCACCTGCTGGATAGAAGAGAACCAGGTCCCCTATTTTCTTCAAGTATCTAAGAATACGTTTTGCAGCCTTCAAGTGTGAATCACGAGGACATGCTTGAAACCTGGCACACATTCCAACACTATAAACAATATCAGGCCATCTAGCAGTCAGATATAACAAGGATCCAATGATTCTCCTGTACATTGTTTGATTTACAAGAGGATCAGATTCCTCTACTACCAGTTTGGAATTTGTTCCCATAGGAGTATCAATAGGTTTACAGTCAAACATATTGAATTTCTTCCGCAGCTCCTTAATGGACTTCTCCTGACAAATTGAAATCCCATTTGATGATTGCTTAATTTGCAGACCCAGGAAGAATATAAATTCACCCATCATGCTCATTTCAAATTTCTTTCCCATTAATGATGAGAATTCTTCACACAAATGTTCTGAAGTAGCTCCAAAAATTATGTCATCAACATAAACATGAATGATAAGCAATTCTTGTTCTCTTTTTAATAAGAACAAAGTATTGCCTATCTTGTCTCTTTTGAAACCATTCTTCAGCAGAATCTTTCACAACCTTTCATACCACGCTCTTGCAGCCTGCTTCAGACCATACAATGCCTTATTCAATCTGAACACATGATCTGGTAGCTCTGCATCATCAAAACCAGGAGGTTGTTTGACAAATACCTCCTCCTTGAGATCTCCATTCAGAAATGCACTCTTCACATCCATTTGATACAGCTTGAACCCCATGAATGCAGCAAAAGCTATTAAAATTCTAATAGCCTCCATTCTGGCAACAGGTGCAAATGTCTCATCATAGTCTATTCCCTCTTCTTGATTATATCCTTGTACCACCAACCTGGATTTATTTCTAGTAATCACTCCATTTTCTGAAAACCCATCTGGTTCCTATTACTGTTCTGCCTTCAGGTCGAGAAACCAGGTACCAAACCTTGCTTCTTTCAAACTGATGAAGTTCTTCTTGCATAGAGTTGATCCAATCTACATCACTTAATGCTTGTTTCACATTCTTGGGCTCAATAGATGATATGAATGCTGAGAATGCAACCACATTTCTTGTTTTTGATCTAGTATGAATTCAAGAATTCAAAGGAGAAATAAGATTATCAAGAGGATGTGATGAAATATGCTTCCATCCTGATCTTGGAGCAGACTGGTTGAGCTGATCGGCATGTTCTTCTTCATCAAGAGAGACATCATTTCCTGGGGAGTTTGATGTACTCTGGCTGGAATTCTGAGTAGTACTAGGTACCTCATCGCCCTTTTCAACCTCATCAGCCTCTTCAGGTAAACTATGATTCTGATCATCACAGTCATTTTTCAGTTAGTGTTCTGCATCAGCTTCACTTCCTTCAATTTTCTTCAAATTGAACAGTTTCATCAAATCATCTTCATCATTTGATCCATTATTCTTCAAGCTTCCATCTTCATCAAATACAACATGAATGCTTTCTTCAATACTTTGAGTTCGTTTATTGAATATTCTGTAAGCCTTGCTACATGAAGAATATCCAACAAACACTCCTTCATCACTCCTAGGATCAAATTTACCCAGATCATCCTTTTCATTATTCAGCACAAAACACCTGCATCCAAATGCTCTAAGATAGCTCAGCATAGGCTTTCTGTTGTTGAGCAGCTCATAGGGGGTCTTATTCAAAACAACTCTTATCAGACACCTATTGGTAACATGACATGCTGTGTTAACAGCTTCAGCCAAGAAATTTTGAGGGAGATTTGATTCAATAATCATAGTTCTGGCAATGTTCACCAAGGTTCTGTTTTTTCCTTTCCACTACTCCATTTTGTTGAGGAGTTCTTGGAGCAGAAAAATTATGACTTGTACCATTCTCCATGCAGAATTTATCCAGTTTTGAGTTCTCAAACTCAGTACCATGATCAGATCGAATGCTGCAAATGACTTGATTCAATTTGGTTTGAATCATTTTGAAAAACACCACCAACTCTCCTGCTGTGTCTGCCTTTGAAAACAAGAATCTTGTCCAAGTATATCTCGACTAACAATCACCAAAATATACTTCTTCCCATTTCTGCTTTAAATCTTCAAGGGTCCACACAGGTCCATATGAAGCAGCTCTAGTGTTCTTGATGATGTTACTTGCTTTTTGGGCTTAAAGGATGATCCGATTTGTTTTCCTTTAACACAAGCTTCACAGATTTTATTTTCTGCAAACTTCAGCTTTGGCAGACCTCGGACTAGGTCCTTAGAAATAAGTTTGTTCAATAAAGATGAGCTTACATGCCCCAGCCTACGATGCCAAAGATGAGCATTCTCATTCTGAGAACTGAGACATGTCAGGTCATCTCCATGAGACGTTTCTAAGTTGTCTACATACATATTTTTACTTATGTGTGCAGTAAGAATTACCTTCTTTGTAGTTAGACTCACCACAATGCACTTCTCAGAAGTAAATTTGACTTCATTTCCTTTGTCACATATTTGAGACACACACAACAAACTGTACTTCAACCCATCCACATGATACACATTGTCAATTGAATCTTCAAGAGATCTTCCCACTTTGCCATGTCCCAGAATGTACCCCTTCATTCCGTCACCAAAAGAGACACCTCCTCCTTGAAGTGTCTTGAGTGAGAGGAAGTTTTCTACATCACCAGTCATATGGTTAGAGCATCCACTGTCCATATACCAACATTGACTACTGCTTCTCTCACTCACCTGCACCAAGAATCACTTGTTTAGCTTGGGAACCCATTTCAATTTGATTTCCCAGAAGGCAGACAAAGGAGTGATTAGATTTTATATAGTCCAATAGGGTAGATTTTGAAGCTTTCTAACAAAGGACATTGGAGCAGTGACAGATTTTTTCTTTGAAAATCTGTGAGTTGAAACATGCTTTGGAGGACCAGGTCTCTCTTTTGGTGAATTTTGCCTTTCAGCATAATTAGAGAGTCTTTCATAGGAGTTTCTCCAGCTAGCACACTCTCCCTTTAGATACCCATTCTTACCACAACGAAGACATAGAAGATTTTCAGACACAAACACATACTTACTGTGAGGATTATAAGGAGGAGTGATGTTCAAACTTCCTAGTCCTTTCTTATTGAAATTACTCAAATTTGTTGCATTTGACAGTAACTTTGAGGATTTTGTCCACTTAAGGGATTTTTCAAGTTCTTCCTTAAGTTTGACAATATCCTTTTCTAATTTGTTTCTCTTTTCCAGCGACAGACCAAGGTTTTTCTCAGAGTTTTTCAATTTTTCTTAAATTTTACCTTGTAAACCATTTGACATTTCATTTAGCTTTTCAGGTTCTTCAGTTATCTGATTCAACTGGTTCTTAAGTTCAAAATTATCAGACTCTAGAGACACCATTCTTGACATTTTATCTTCACGTTTAACTTTGTTTTCAGTTAAACTGTCACGTTCAGCATTCATGGTAATCTATCATGAGTTTTGCCAATGTTCTCAATTTTTTAAGAGAATATTTATCCAAGTCATTTTTCATAACAAGAAGAGTTGCCTGGTTATCCTCTTCTTCATTTTCTGTATGAGCCATGAGAGCAAACATTTCATTGAAAACGGTTTCCTCCTCGTGTACAGCCACCATAGACACATCTTTTGGTTCATCAGGGTCTTCTGAATCACTTGAAGATTCACCCCATGCAGCAAGAGCCTTTTTGACCACAAAATCTGCAGCAGCTTTTCAATCTCTCTTACCGCGTACCAGGTCCCTTCTATTTTCTTTGTCACTTCTTGGTTTATGATGTTCCTTGTTTTCATTCTTGAGCAGAGGACACTCTCTGATAAAGTGCCCAGCTTTTCCACACTTGTAGCATGTATCACCTTGAGTGGCATTTCGATTACCATTTGTTCCTCTTATATAAACTTTGTTTTTTCTCACAATTTTTTGAAATCTGCTGATGAGATATGTCATGTCATCATCACTGGAATCTTCATCTGATTTGTACTTCAGCATTAATGACTTATCCTTCTTGGCTTCCTTCTTTGATGAATCGTAGTTTCGATTTATCTCATGTGTCTTCAGATTTCCAATCAAAGCATCCATAGTCAGCAACTTCAAATCTTTGGCTTCTGTAATGGCATCAACCTTGCTTTCCCAAGATTTTGGAAGAATTCGAAGTACTTTTCTGACTTGTTTGCTCATACTTATAAGTTCACCAAGACTTTGCAGCTCATTTGTAATGGAAGAAAATTTTGTGAACATGTCATGAATTGTTTCTCCTTCCTTCATTTTGAACTTCTCATACCGTGAGGTAAGCATGTCAATCTTCGATTCTTTGACTTGTTCAGTTTCTTCATGTGCCGTCTTCAAACAGTCCCAAATTTCCTTAGCAGACTCACAAGCTGACACCCTGTTAAACTCATCAGAACCTATCCCACATATAAGAAGAGTTTTAGCTTTGTAGCCCTTTTCAATCTTTTTTCTATCAGCTTCGTCGTACTTCTGTCTAGGCTTTGGAACAAGACTAGTTTTATCTCCATCCTTTTATTCCATCATCGGAATAAACGGTCCATCAAGTACAATATCCCATAACTCGCTGTCTTCAGCCATGAGGTAATCGTGCATTCTAACTTTCCACCAACTGTAGAAATGTCCATTGAAACGGAAAGGTCTTGTTGACGACTGACCTTCTTCGAGATTAAGTGGAGCAGTCATTCTAGAGCAAATATCACTTCCTTGGTGTTAACCAAATAGATAGTGCCTGCTCTGATACCACTTGATAGAATATATGCCTTCACTTAACAAAGTAATGGACCAGGTCCCTTACTACACTAATGAATAAAACCAGAAAGTTAAATGCAGTAAAATCAACACAATGATTTTACGTGGAAACATCCTTGCTTAAGGGAGTAAAACCACGACCTCTCTCACAAGATTTTCAATCGTTTTCACTAATATTCAAAAGCAAAAGTAAAACACGATTACAATGAATGTGAGAAGAAGTTTTTAATCTCACGTTTAAACAATAGTCTCTATTGCTTAACAAGCCTAAGTAGAAAACAATCTACCCACTAAGCTATCCCACTTGGACAACCTAGACTTTCAACACTACCCACTGATTCCTTTATAGTTTCAAGAATAGTTTACAATATAAGAACAAGAGAATATATTCCTAAACAGTTACACTAAAAGCTCCAGAGATTACTGCTGTTCTTGGAATAATTCTGCCTTTTGTTTACTAGAAACCTTTGCAAATGATCTTGAAGAGTTGTATCTCAAGTTGCAAAAACTACCCAAGATGTTTAGGAAAATGCCTTTTATATGGACAAGTCACTTTCCTTAAAATCTTCGTCATTGGTTGGAGAAGTATTACTTTCTGACGCCTTCGGGAAGTGTGCACCTACTTTTTGTACCGCCTCCAGCTGGCAGTCAACTGGCTCATCAACATGAGAGTTTGGTACCTCTACAAGGTCCCTGGGTTTGTTTCATCTTCAGCACTCAAGTAAGAAACCTGGTACCTTTACAAGGTCCCTAGGTTTGTCAAATTATCAAAACTACAAATAACATTATCATTTTCAATTATCAAGATTTTGGCTTAAGAAATAAGAACTTGTGACATGTCTATTTCGACGTGCAATCTGCATATTATAATTTCTATTTTTTCCACTACTTTTGATTTCTTTTATTCTCGTTGATTTCAAAATTTAGAGTTGTAGGGGAATAAAGTACATTTCCTGAAATTTGGCATTTATTCTGATGGTGGAAGCTTAATTGTGATTTGTATTTTGTTGGGTGTTGTTGTATAAAGGTATATCTATTGAGTTTTAGGTATCTGCTTAATGTTTCAGATTTTGCTTCACAGAGTTATTATGTTTCTAGTTAACAATTTGTTGGAGCATATCATGTGATTGTCTGTTATGGACTTACGGTTCATTTAATTTTCTTTTAACATGATTAGATTTAACTATCTTGAAATATTTCGAGATAATAGGAAATAACATAGAGTTTAATATATTGACTTTGAACTGAAGCTAGTTAGATTTCCTTATTTTAAACAATAGTAAAAATAAGTGTATATCAGCTCACATTAAAATTAGACACAAAAATGAAAGAATTTCTATAAAGAATTACTCAAGAGTTTTACTTCAACCTGCTTTTCGATCTCAAGTTTGGGTGCCTCACTTCCTTCGTTGTCCGAGAAAATGTCTTCAATACTATATGGGATGCTAGTAGAGAAATTTGGAGTCGGTTTCACTTTCAGAACAAAAACAGGCTCTGCCTAATAGTTGAGGATCTGAAATATTGTCCTCTTACAAAGGCTTTCTGTGCAATTAGGATTTGCACAACTCAATTCACCAAGTAGCAGTTTTTTCACCACTTTCCCATTGAAGTCTATGAAAAATAAAAATGATTTTTTTGAAAGTACAAAAAATTCTTAGATATTTATTAGAACTTTATTGAATTGGGTAGAATAAATATCTTTGATATTTATACTTAAAAAAATCTAGATAATTAGATACTTAGAGTAAAGTATAGAATAATCTAGATTTTGTTAAATATTTAGAAGATAGGGTCATCTTGATTTTCCTTGTAGGTCTTTCTAGAATAGTTTCTAGAAGTATCCCGATACTAGTATTAATACGGGGATCATAGTCAATTATAATCAACCCAAATCAAATATTCTTCTCCTATATCAAAGTTTTCTTATTCAAAGCATTCCTTCTGCTTTCTAGCCTCCTTTTCCTTAGTTGAATCTTTCGATCTTAGTTAACAATCTTGGGCTAGCAGAAGGTTCCCCAATTATACTCTTCTTCTGCTATTCTCTACATGGTATCAGAGTCATAGTCATTTTTTTACTTTTGAATTTTATTCAAGATCGGGTTAGTGGTAGATTCAACTGGTTTGTCGATATGGATTTTAGATGTCGTGTTAATGGACTGGGGATGAAGTGGTTGAATCAGTCCAATTACGAGGTATGGAAGACATGTATGGGATCATACCTTGTGAGAGAGGATTTGTGGGATGTTGTTAATGGGAATGCCACAAGTCTTCCTGCTTACGGACTGGAAAATAACAGTGCATACAAGAAGTGGAAGCAGGTTAATGCGAAGGCAGAGTTCATTCTGAAGAGAACAATCTCCTTCGATTTATTTAATTACATTATAAAGTGTAAATCAGCTCACGAGAAATAAAGGACCCTCAATTGCATGTTCAACAAAAAGAATGAAGCTCAGCTGCAGATAATGGAGAATGAATTGGCTAATACTACTCAAGGTAAGTTTTCTATCTCCGAGTACTTTTTGAAGATCAAGAACTTATGTTCTGAGATATCTTTGTTGAATCTGGAATAGGCTATTTCTGAAGCACGAATGAGAAGAATAGTCATTCATGGATTGAAGCCCAAATATATTCCATTTGTGAAGTCGATTCAAGGATGGGTTCTTTGGGGCTATTGCCCATGTTTCAGCAAAGGGCCCATTGGAAAATGATTAGAATTATTCTCTTTATTTGGCTTTCAATTTTATTAGGAAAAGAATTGGAATTGTATTCCTATTTGTAGTTGGTTTTGGCTTTGTAAGGAAAGCATAACTGTATAAAAAGAGAATGGTTTTGAGAGAATAATCAATTTCTCATTGATATTGTCTATGAAAGACATTAGAACATAAGAGAGGTTTTTTGAGAGAGCTTTCAACAAGAGAAAAAAAAAGAAAAGGAAAAGGGTTCTTTTGCTGCAGTCTTTTTCTCCGACCAGCAACATTCAAATCGTGTTTTCCGATTAACTAACCGTTGGATCGGGCTGAAATTTGTACTGAGTGTTCCTAACATCATGATGGTTGATTTGAATGGTGTAGATCGGATTTGGAGGTTAGAAAGATCCTGTTTTAGGTCCCGAATAGAAGTTGGATTCTGATAGTGTTTCTTTCTATTTATCTTTTATTGGTGTAGCTATTGTTTGTTCTCTTTTGACACTTGTTTTGTAGCGATTAGAAGAACATTTTTAACCCTCTTATAGGTATAGTGAAGCAATTCAGATCTTGTCGATCCCGTGGTGGTTACCTTTGGTTTGAAGGGTTTTTCAACGTTAAACTTGGTGTTCTTTATTGTTAGGTTTTCGGTTTCATCTTTTCGTCACAACAGGCTCAACAACCATCCTTGGAGGAATTTAAAAATTTGTTGTCGTCACAGAAATTACTAGTCAAGCAGTTGGCTAGTGTGTTTGTCAAAGACGAAGAAGGAGATGCTCTTGTAGTTAACAAGAGAAACTTCAAAGGAAAATCAAGAGATATGTCACACTCTCGATCCTCAGGTTATCCTAAAAAGAATGAAGAGCCTTCTAACTATTGTGGCAAGAAGCCTCTTATATGTTATCGATGTGGAAACATAGGACACATAAAAAGATATTGCCGAGCCAAAGAGAGTAATATGGCTCAAAAAGTTGCTAAAGAAGAAGAAGAATGGGAACAATGTTTAGTTGTTGAGGCTCGAGGAATAGATGTCATGATTTCCATCAATCTTACAAGAGAATGGATCAAGGATTTTGAATATAATATATTCGATCACTTGGAGAAGTAAGAAGCTGATGTTGTCGGCATGAAGCAAGAATTTATTGAAGCTGTTCCAAGTGGTAATATGGAACCTTCTACTGAAGAAATCAAAGAAGAAGGTCTTGAACATGAAATATCTGAAGCTACATGTACTAGTGGCGACTTTTATAGTGAAAGCATTGATGGAGAAGTATTGAAAGCGGAAGTATTTGGTCAACCATCTGCAATATCAAGGCCATGGCACAAAGATTCGTTTGAGTTCTTCTACGACCACTATGGGATAGTTTCCAAAAAATAAATTTAAGAGGGATTATGAAAAATGAAGATGATTTTTTGGAGGTGCAAAAACATTTTAGATATTTATTAAAACTTTGTAGAATTGGGTAGAATAAATATCTTTGATATTTATAGTTAAAGAAAAATCTAGATAATTAGATACTTAGAGTAAAGTATAGAATAATCTAGATTTTGTTAGATATTTAGAAGATAGGATCATCTAGATTTTTCTTGTAGATCTTTCTAGAATAATTTCTAGAAGCATCCCTATAGTATAAATAGGGTACCATAGTCAATTGTAATCAACCCAAATCAAATAGTCTTCTCCTATATCAAAGTTTTCTTATTCAAAATATTCCTTCTCCTTTCTAGATTCCTCTTCCTTAGTTGAATCTTCCGATCTTAGTTAACGATCTTGGGCTAGTAGAAGGATTCCCAATTATACTCTTCTTCTGCTATTCTCTACAGTTGTTAAGCCTTTTGTCTGCTGTGCCAATAATTCTACCTTCATAGTACAGTCTTTGAAAACCCATTAACCAAATTCACCATTTTATGACCATTCCTTTCTATTAAATTGGTCTCCTCTCGCCAGCCGCTTTTAGTATAAACACACCGTAGTTGAAAACAGTAGTTTTCTTGTTTGATTTTCTGTATTTAAGGTATTCAGGAGCAATGTATCCCATTTTTGTTCCAGCTATAAGTATTGAGGCCGGACTCTTTTTATGATCCATATGTCTTGCTAGCCTAAAATCGCCAAGCCTTTCATTGTTGCTCCCATGAAGTGTAATGTTACTGGTCTTAAATCTGTGTGAGCTACCTGTTGCCTACATTCTTGATGCAAATAAGTCAGAACAGATGCCAAACCAACTACTATATTGCACCTATAAGGCCATT